CTCTCCGTACTCCCTCTCCGTACTCCCTCTCCGTACTCCCCTTTCCCTGTCCTCCCGACCTGCTTCTCTAAGATCGAGCAGAGACCGTGGTGTTATGGTTTTGAGACGTCGCAAAGCAGAGATGGAGGGGTTATGCTGAGCAGCAGCACATGCCCTGTCAACCTACCAACTCCACCGAGCCATCTCAGCTCAGCCCATCCTGATTGCCCCACTTTCCGTCCACCCTGCTCACCTTCCCTGCCCACGGCCTGTATTCACAGCTTCGTGGGAGTCGCTTCAAGCATTTCCCCCACTCCTTCGTCCTCTCTCCCCCACTTTTCAAGCGGTTCTGGGCAGCACACCAACAGAGGAAGCGGACATTGTAGTGGGCGGCACCATGCCGTGCCAGCTCACCACATTCCTGAGAGTCACATCAGCCACGCCCCTCTCTTCCCACTACTCCCCCTCCCAGGCTGTGCTGGACATCACAACAACAGAGGTGGCGGATTTCATAGTGGGCGGCACCATGCCGTGCCTGCCCACCAGGTTTGATGCCGCCATCCACAGGAAGGTTCCTCTCGTGCTCAGCCTGGGGGCGCTCGACATGGTCAACTTCGGAGAAGCTTCCTCCGTGCCCAAGGAGTTTGACGGGCGCACCCTCCACGTGCACAACCCGCAGGTGTGATTGTGGGGGGATGCGCAGGGAGAAGGGAGATATTGCCAAGGAGTTCTATCAATGTGGCTTTTGAGTCGACTCAGGAGTTTGACGGGCGCACCTTGCACATGCACAATCCACAGGTATGATTGTGAGGGGACTCTCAAGGAGCGGTTCGTGATTCCGAGGGAATGTTGTGTGGGTGATGCAGTTGGGTACTAAGAGGTATGGGTGAGGGGTGGTGTGGTGGGAAGAGGTTGGTGATTGTGAGGGAATACTGTCAAACATAGTACAGGGGCGCACCACGCACGTGCACAACCCCCAGGTATGATTGTGAGGTGAGATGCAGGCTAGCTAAGGGAGATGATCAAAGAACGTGATGATTGTGCTTCGTGTTTCATTGTAAGCCAAGTGTCTCTGGAGCGCGTGGCAAGTATCTGTGCACTCTCTCCCGCTCCCCTCTCCTGCATCCCTCTCCCCCCTCCTCCCACTCACCAACCCCCCAGGTCACCCTCATGCGCACAACGGCCGACGAGAACCGTCGGATCGCGCAGTTCATTGCGGGCAAGATGAACCAATCAGAGGCGCTCGTGACACTACTAATACCTGAGGGGGGCCTGTCCGCTCTAGACGCCCCAGGCATGGCCTTTTGGGACCCTGCTGCTGACGCTGCTCTGTTCGAAGAGCTGGAGAAGCAAGTGGTGCAGACGGATAGCAGGAAGGTGGGTAGAGGGTTGATGGGGGTGAAAGAGATAGAGTGCGGTACACATGAGTGCAATGGAGTGGGTGGGCTGTCGGCCCTAGACGCCCCGGGCGTGGCCTTCTGGGACCCTGCTGCTGACGCTGCTCTGTTCGAGGAGCTGGAGAAGCAAGTGGTGCAGACAGACAGCAGGAAGGTGGGTAAGGTGAAGGGTGTGAGGGATGGAATGTGGTGCAGTGTGGTTCTGTTTGTGGGCTCTGTGGCTGATGCTGGTCTGTTTGGGAGTCTTGAGCAAGAGGTGTTGCTGATGGCAAGTGGGCAATGGGTGGTGTGTGCTGTGAGTGACCTCAACCTCTCACTCACTCTATCTCTCTCCCTCTCCCACTCCTTCTCCCACCTGTTACTCCCTCCCGCTCCCTCTCCCTCGTAGATCATTCGCCTGCCCCACCACATCAACGACCCTGCCTTCGCTGCTGCCCTCGTCAATGCTCTCCTGCCCCTCCTCCCATCCACCCAGCCCCACTCACCTCCTCCTCCTTCCCTTCCCACTGCTTCTACCGCTGACCCCTCTGCTCCCGCCACTACTCCCCCACCCGCTGAACCAACCACCATCACAACCACCTCCACCTCTCCATCCCCTTCCGCACCCCTCCCCACCACTCTCAACCCACCCCCTGCTTTCGACCTCAGCCCGATCCCCTGGCTGGTCGACCGCCGCACCGCCATCCTGGACTCCCTGCGGTTCCAAGTGGCGGCAGGGAGGGCGATCATAGGGGGCGGGGCGGGCACGGGGATAAGCGCCAAGTGCGAGGAGATGGGGGGCGTGGACCTCATTGTGATCTACAACTCGGGCCGCTTCCGCATGGCTGGCAGGGGGTCGCTGGCGGGGCTGCTGCCGTTTGCCGATGCCAATGCTGTGGTGGAGGACATGGCTAAAGAGGTTCTCCCGGTGAGTGTGATTGCGGTGAGCAGCGGCATCTGATGGTATTTAGAGGTCCTGCTGGTGAGTGCGACAGCATTGCGAGGAGATGGGAGTGCAGAACTTCCCCACAGTCGGCCTCGTCCCCACAGTCGGCCTCGTCCCCACAGTCGGCCTCTTCCCCACAGTCGGCCTCGCCCCCACAGTCGGCCTCTTCCCCACAGTCGGCCTCTTCCCCACAGTCGGCCTCTTCCCCACAGTCGGCCTCTTCCCCACAGTCGGCCTCTACGACAGCTCTTTCCGGACCAACCTAGAGGAGACCGCCCCTTCTCTTCCTAAACTCTCACCCCCCTCCCCTCCCCTTCTCTCTCCCCTTCTCCCCCCCCTCCCCCCACCCCCACCCCCACGCCCCCACCTCCACCTCCCGCCACTCCCCCCAGGTAATCAAGTCAGTGCCAGTGCTAGCAGGCGTGTGCGCCACGGACCCCTTCCGCCAGATGCCTCTCTTCCTGCGCCGCCTCGCCGCCCTCGGCTTCGCGGGCGTCCAAAACTTCCCCACAGTGGGCCTCTACGATGGCTCTTTCCGCACCAACCTAGAGGAGACCAACATGGGGTACCCGCTGGAAGTCTCCATGATTAAAACGGCTAGTCTCCTGGGTTTCCTCACGACGCCGTATGCGTTCAACGAGGAGGAGGCGCGGAGCATGGCGGGCGCGGGGGCGGATGTGGTGGTGGCGCACATGGGGCTGACGGCAGCGGGCAGCATAGGGGCGAGAAACGGTGTGCTCTTTGGAGGAGGCGGTGGGGGCGAGTGCAGCGCATGGCTGAACGCTGCTAGAGGGGGTCAAATCCCAACGTCCTAGTGCTGTGCCATGGTGGTGAGTGGTGCTGTGCGGTGGGGTGACTGGTGAAGTAACTGGGAATGAGTGGGATTTCAACGTGGGGATGGGATGGGATGGGGGGCGGATGTGGTGGTGGCGCACGTGGGGCTGACGGCAGCGGGCAGCATAGGGGCGAGAAACGGTGTGCTCTTTGGAGGAGGCGGTGGGGCGATTGCAGCGCATGGCTGATGCTGCTAGAGGGGTCAACCCCAACGGCCTAGTGCTGTGCCATGGCGGTGAGTGCTGCTGTGCGTGCGGCAACTGGGGGGATAACTGGGGAATGAACGGGCTATCAACGTGGGGGGTGGTAATCCTCCCACCCACCTTGACCTCCCTCCACCTTCCTCCCACCTTGACCACACTCCACCTTCCTCCCGCCTTCCTTCGCGTGTTCTTGTTCATGCCACTTAGTGTGCTCCTGCCATCTCCTGCACCCCACCAGGTCACCATCAGTGGTCCAGAGGAGGCGAGGTATGTTCTGCAGAACACGCGGAGGGCGCACGGCTTCTAGGGCGCGTCCAGCATGGAGGCCCGTCCCTCATCCCTTTCCACACTTGCTTCTCTTGCCCCTAGCCAATCCCTGTATGTACCCCGCCAGGTCCCATCAGTGGGCCACAGGAAGCGCGGTACAATTCTGCAGAACACGCGGGGCGTTGCACGGCTTCTACGGCGCGTCCAGCATGGAACGGCTGCCCGTGGAAACTGCAAGTCACGGAGAACCTCAAGTGCATACAAGGCCAATTCGCTTGTCTTCCTAAGCCGTGTGTAAGGAGAGATCCTTCTGATACACCTCAAAAGCGCGTCCAGCATGGATGGGGCGCCTGCCTTGTGGAAACTGCCATCACTGACAACAGGCATACAAGGCCCATTCGCCTCGCCTGCCTTCTTAGGTCGTTAAGACCCAGGGGACAATTTTGGAGACGTCTCAAGTATTGGAGCCTTGCAAGCATAGGTACTAGTTGGGATATGGGCGACTAGTTTGGATTGGTATCACTCAACAATACAATGTACTAGTTTGTGTGTTGATGTACCGTATTTACTGTCAGAATACTAGGCAGAAGTTTAGAACAGAAAAGAGGGCTTTGGACTGGCAGCAGCAGGATACATATAGGAAACCCTAAATTGGGTTGTACTCGCTATAGAGTACCCCACTGCAGGCTAGACAAATATTAACATTCTGACACACAACCCCATAGCCAAAGTGGGGTGTAATCAGCACAATAAGTAGGCAGAACAATAGTTCACAATGATAAGCAAAGTTAGAGGCTATCACAGAGGGCAAGTGAGGAGGAGAGACTGTGGGGGCGAGAAGACGGGAGGGCGACGGCTGAAGCTGCAGACACACTGGCAACAGGAGCGGCGCGCACTGTGGCTACCGGCGGACTGCAGGAGTAACAGGCTCCGCGGCTAAGACGAGCGGCAGGAGCAACGGACCCACGGGCGACAGGCGCAGCAGGCTCTCTGGGCTACCAGCGGCAGAGCCCCGAACTACAGGCGCTGCGGACGACAAGACGGCTGCCTCCACTTCAACCTCCCCCAGCTGTCCACACCCATTTCATACACCCCCTGCTGTTCCCCTACCACTGCGCACGACGCCACCCCTTAGTACCACTCCGACGGCTCCCACAGCACCACACCCCCCTCAACGGCAGCTGCAGCAGTGAGAGACAGAGGAGGAGGAGGAGCAGGGGACGGAGCACACAGACCCCCAAGACTCGCCACCCCCAAACCCTAACACAGGCAACACGGGGGCAGGAGTGTGGGCAGCAGCGGGTAGCGGGCGAGCGAAGCGGGCCGGCGCGCTGGTCCCTAGGGCGCCTCGACGGGCGACAGTAGGGGGCGACGCGCGGGCCCCCGGGGCGCCACGACGGGCGACGGGAGGGGGCGACCGCAGGCCCCCGGGGGCGCCTCAACGGGTGACGGGAGGGGGCGACGCGCGGACCCCCGGGGCGCCACGACGGGCGACGGGAGGGGGGGGCAACGCGCGGGCCCCTAGGGCGCAGCGGCGGGCGACAGGAGGGGGGGAGCGACGCGCAGGCCCCCAGGGCGCCACGACGGGCGACGGGAGGGGACAGCACGCGGGCCCCCGGGGCGCCACGACGGGCAGCGATCCCGCCGCGCTCTTCCCGGGGCGCGCGGCGGGCAGGAAACCGCCACGCGTGACAGGTAGGCCAGCAGCAGAAGCATAGGGTGGGCCCACCCACAGGATCGACCAGGGAGGGTCGACTTGCTCTGATAGCAATGTCAGAATACTAGGCAGAAGTTTAGAGAAGAAAAGAGGGCTTTGGACTAGCAGCAGCAGGATACATATAGGAAACACCTAAATTGTGTTGTACTCGCTGTAGCTGCAGGCTAGACAAATACAACATTCTGTCATTTACCTGGCTAATGGACCCCCCAAATTTATAGACCCTCGGGTCGTTAAATAGGGAGGGGGTCTAATGTTATCACCACTTTCATATGTCAAGATAGCAAGCATGGATGATGGCAGTGAATGAAATGTGGGTACAAGTACTAATCCTAACTTCGGGTTGTACCCCATATGAGCTACCCCACTATAGCCTAGACAGAACTAACACATATATAGTTTGACACACCCCCATACGCAAAGTGGGGGAGAACAAGGGGCCACAAGACCAGTCAAGAAAGCAAAGCAAGCTCGAGGTGGATCACAACGTCACGACACACTCGAGCACAAGCAAAGGGCCACAAGGCCAGTTCACATGCAGAGGTATATATGCAACAACAACAGTACAGTGATCACTACCTAGCAAGAGCAAGCATGCAAGTATATATATATATATCACAGTACAATCGAAGTCACTAAGTGAGCAAGTGAGACGAAACAGGCACAAGGCCTAACATAGTACAAAAGCGCTGATGATCACCAGACGGAAATGCCTTGGCCCGAGTGGCCACGTGAGCAAGACGAAGCTGACCACGCTGCTGCAACTCTCAAGCCAGGAAGTAACGCAGAGCGATGTGCTTCGTTCTGTGCTCCAGTCTGTGCTCCTGACACAAGGCAATGGCGGCCTTCTTGTCTACATACAGAACTGGACGAGAACGAGGCCGCTATCCCAAGTCGGTCAGCAGGTAGGTGAGCCAGCGTAACTCCTGCGCAGCCATGGCTGTGGCGTAGATCTCAGCCTCACAACTTGAGCTGAGAACAGAAGACGAGCGGGTAGACCGCCAAGAAACAGAGCCGCAGCCAAGGCTGAAAGTGTAACCCTGTCACGACCGCTGCGTAGCCAGGTCGTCAACCCAAGAAGCGTCTCAGTGTCCAGTGAGGACAACGGAGCTCCGCCCTCCAAGCACAAGCCCCATGCCCGATGTACTGCACAAGTAGTGCAGTACCCTCTTTGCAGCATCCATGTGCACCTTTCGGTGCCGACCAGGAGCCACGTAGCGAGCCAAAAGGCCAAGAGGGTACGCGAGGTCAAGACGAGTGCAGGTCATCAGGTACATGAGGCCCACTAGCTCTGGGTACGGGCCACTCGGCTCTACGGACTCGTCCGAGCGTGGAGCTGAGAGCGAGTGACCAGTAGCCAGAGGAGTGGACAGTGGCGAGGACCAAGTGAAGCCGAAGTGCTGAAGGACCTGCCGCACCATGTGTGACTGAGTCAGGGTGATGGTGCGGCGTGCTCTGCCCTGGGTGATCTGCAAGCCAAGGTAAGTGCGCAGCTCACCCAGGTGTGCACGTGTGTCTCTTCTGCAGCTCCGACTGCACAAGGGCGAGAGCCTCAGTACACGAGGATGTAGAACGGCGGCAATGAAGTGTCGGTGCGTAGAAACAACGACGGGTCAGCAGTGGAAGGGGCAAACCCAAGAGCTGCAAGTGTCATCCTCAGTGTGTCATGCCGCTCACGAGGCGCCTGATGGAGACCGTAGACTGGCCGACGGTGGCTCCACTGGGTACTAGGAGGGAACGACCCAGTGAAGGCAAGGTGGGCGGCGCAGCCAAATCTCCTCGTGCAGACTGCCCTGTAAGAACGCAGTGCTGAAGTCCATAGAGTGAAGCTCATAGTCACACTGAGCGGCAACGTGCAGCAGCACCCGAAGAGTGGTCATCTTCGGGGTCGGGGAGAAGGTCTGGAAGAAGTCAACTCCCTGTCGCTAACTGAAGCCTCGTGCAACGTAACGAGCCTTGAAGACATGCGGGGAACCCGGCGGTCGCTTCATCCTGAAAATCCACATGCCATCGACGATGTTCGCCCCTGTCACCGAATATGCACGGTTGTGCATATAAGGTGCCAGTTAGATTGAGGTGTAGTTCTGGTGTGGTTCGGGTGTAGTAATGATGTGTATGAATATTCGAAGGTAGGTAGTTGGGGAACCAGGGAAGTTGACGCGAGGTTGGTAGGAGAGCACCAAGGGTGAAATCCACGCGACCAATGTGATTGAACCAACCCAGGCTCGAGCCGCACATTGAGAAATGCATGGTTCGAGCCCAGGCCAGGTAAAGTCACTCGCTCACACAGCCCTGATGCTTTCCGGTTGCTATCCTTTCGTATAGTGGACTATTGTTGCCTCAGGTGTGCAGACAGGTGGCAGACCACTCAGGGAGGACCCTTGAGGTGAGAGTTACATAACTTTTATAGCAACCGGAAAGGGTGCGTGTGCAAGCATGGATGTGTACGAGCTGCGTTATGGCAGGAACTATGGTCGCCGTGAGGATGATCGCTCACGGCGCGAACGCTCACGTGAGCGCGGGCGGTCGTTGGAGAGGTCACCGCGGAGGCCTGAGCGCTCGCCGCGGAGGCCGGCCTTTCGCGCAGATCTGGTCCCTCTTGCGCCAGATCGCCGAGGAGAAGGTGCAGAGCGAGAAGGAAGAGGCGGATCCGAGTCCGTCAGGATGGGAAGTGACCCGTGGCGGACGGATGCGCGCCACGGAGCTGGTGGCGATCATGGACATCGCCAGGACATGGGAGCGTATCGCTCGCCGGAAGAGGGTTACCGCCGTCGCGAAGATCGGAGTCGCGTGC